GCAATTACGTCAAAGCTACGAAAGAGAAAATCCTTTGGAGTAATGGAAAAATTAAGTTGTAAATATGAAGAATTCTCCAAGTCAAACGATCCAACAGGCTCAAGCCAGTAAATGTTCTGATTTTCAACGACTTCTTTCAAAATTCGCTCAAGTGTCCACAGAGGAAAGATAGTTTTCTAAGCTTTCAATGTGTCCTCTTCTACACGAGAAAGCCTAGAGCTCTATTCAACTTCTCTGACTATATGACTGTTTTCATCAATTTTAGCTTCACGAGCCATCCTTCGTTTCAATTCATGCTCATCAGGTTCTTCCTCTTCACTATCATGGATAATATTCTCTTTTCCTCTCGAACTCGAAGCTGCATTAACCATCAGTTCATTTATTTTGGGATTTTGTTCTTGATAATCATCACCAATAGCTAGTTTCTTGACACTTTCGGTTGATACCTTCTTTGCCTCTTTCATTGCTTCCCCCCATGTTTTGGAATTGAAGATTCAGAAACACCCTAAATCTTGTCTAACATGGAGAAGATAGGCTATAATTTCTCTGCGACATGTTGACAAACGAAAACAGTAAAGAGAGAGTTGTGAGCCTCTAATAGATTATGCAACTCAACATTCGCATCAGCAACATAACTGCGAATGGCAGCATTCTTTGACTTGAGATCAGCAATCTGTTTGTTGGCAGTAGTTAACTTCACTGCAAGAACATTCACACGTCAGTTTTCATAGTGTATCGCCCTCAAATTTGGGCTAGTCAATTTGGAGACAATAAGCGTCAAAAATAAATTTTTATAAAAGATTATTTAGAATAAATAATCTTAACTAAGTTTTAGTATATATCATAAGGGTTTCGTACATGTAAAGAACGTTGAAATCCGAGTTATAACGAAGAAGTTATGACTCGTCGAAGTTTTACAGCTAAACCGGCACGGCACTGCGTAACGTAAAAAGTGAATATTTGATAAATTAGTTTTTAGCCTTATAAATCTAAACAAAAGTTGTGGTATATGATAAACCAAGAATGTGCATAAAAAGAACATCCAAATCTAACTTCGTATGAGGTAGTTATGATTTTTCTAAGATTTAGCATAGCAGTACACAGCCCGTAATTCAAATTTCAGATCGAGTGATTTTTAGCCAACACAACCTTAATGAGAATTGAATATCTCATTAATGGGAGCTCAATGATAAAAAGACGGTCAAAATGGATTCTGTATGTAGAAGTTATGAATTTTACACGGTCGTTAACAATATAATATTCTCATACTGTTAATTTTAAAATTAAAAAAAAATAACCGACAAAATCTAAACGAAAGTTGTAGATTATGTCTCGACCTGTGCATGGATATAAAGAACGTTGAAAACGGAGCTAGTATATGAAAGTTACGGGATTTAGAAGTTGGCAAAGTACTATTGCGAAGGAGGTGACGTGGTTGAATATGGGTCATTGCTTTCTCCCAAAGTGTTGCCACCAGATGGTGACATGTGGCACCAAGTTAAGTCATATTTCAGCCTATGAATAGAACCCCTTCCACCCTCATTTCTTCACACCTTCACCTTTCTCTTTCTCTCTCTAACTTCTTTGTAAACCACCCAACCCCCTCCCCCCTAAAGCCCTAGGAAACTCCCCAGCGTTAGAAGAAAGCTTCGAAGCGCCCGATGGCTCCAAGAAAAAAAAATGCTTTTTGGCTCAGAGGCTCTACTCCAGCAGAGCCCAGTTTTTAGCAAAACCTACTGTGAGTGAGATACACCTACGCTACTTAAAATATAACTTACATTTAAATATAATATCGTTATTATGAACCTATAAACAAGATTTAACAGTGATTCCAAGTCGCTATACCGATTGATCTACATACATGGATGATGTTTAGGTTGTGAATTAGTGAGGTGTTTAAAGTGAGATTTCCAAACAGTATACTTCGTATACCAAATGCACCCTACCTCCGATATGATCCTACCTGGCTGTTCCTTACTTGATAGATCATGAAAGCAGACTTTGAGTTAATGATGAATCTAGACTAATAATTAGTTGCAATAAAGATTAGACTACAACTTAGCGATAATAATGCTAGGTTTCGTCGAAGGAAAATAGAATCGTTAGAAGCGAAGCGCTTCCCGGGTTTGGAATCATCATTTTAACATGTTAGTGCATAGTTCCTTTCATGACCATGATTTTAATACAAGTATTGATTGAAGTATTAAATATATGTTTATGTGCGAATTTTTTGATGTTGCCTGAAATATGTGTTAAAGAACATACCTGATAATATATGATGATTTAGGATAAAGAGTAAACCTAAATTAATTATGAGTTATATTGGGTAGTATCTTCTTATGATTATGAGTGAGATATACACGGAGAATAGAACTTTAAAATATGTCATTAATCTGGAGGCATGGATTAGACATGGTCATTTGTCCTTAGTTCGAAAGTATGGATAGGACATAGTGATTTGTCATTAATTCGGGAGTATGGATTTAGACGTAGACAATTGTCCTTAGTCCGAGAGTATGGATAGGACATAGTTATTTGTCATTAATCTGGGAGTACGGATTGAGGCATAGTCAATTGTTCCTAGTCCGAGAGTATGGAATGGGCACAGTTATTGATCCGAAAGAATGGATTAGACATAGTTGATCGGGGAGTATGGAATAAGTAAAACGGTAAAATTTAGATCCGAGAGTATGGACACTGAAGTTGAGAGGATTGACGGGGTGGGGTAAGAGTTGCTTATACATGGTGAAATTGTATACCTGTGAGTTCTAAAATATATTTATGATATAACGTTATGGGATTGAAATCCCTATGTACTCACCAGGTTTCCCAACCTGACCCACTTAATTTATTTGTATCACAGGTATCGATATGAAGCTACATTACACTGAGAGATTAAGGAGACATAGATTAGTACTGTAAATGAGTGTAAGGTCTGTTTATTCTTATGCTTCTGTATTAACAATTACATCCCTACGTTTTAAAAGGAATAAAATACATTTTTTCGGAAATGCTTAGATAACGTATTTATCATTTTTTCTGGGAACAATATCCGCTACGTATTTCTTTACACTACAAGAAAAAGACCCTTTTGCGACGTGCAAACTATGACGCTCGTTGATTTATGTTATCCAAAAGAGAGTGACTTAAAAAAAGTGTCATCATTCAAAAAATTTAAGGATTTAGGTCACGCATTATTGCGTGCCCTTAAACTAGTGTCTCATGTAAAAAAAATTAAAAACATGGGAGGACACTTTATCTAAAATGTGTGCCCTCTGTGAATGTCGTTTTATATTTTTTTTAAAGAGATGCCCGTCTCCTGGAGGGAAAATGAAACAAATTTTTTAAACCCCCGCCTTCTTCTCCCTCATCACCACCCTTCTGTGAATGTCGATTGTAACGCCGATCGACAACTACGACTCATCAACCGTCAATCGAAGCTACCAAAAACAGACCTTTAACGAAGATGGTGATGGGTGCTTCAGCCCTTTAGATACGCTTCTAAGCCCACCTCCTTCTCATTTAACCATCTCTTCAGAACGATAATTTCAGGTGCGAGATCTAAGTGATTGTTTTATGGTGGAAGCCCTTTGCTACACACTTCTTACTAAGTTAGGTGAGTTTGACTTTGAATTATGTTTTTCTTCTATTAGGTTTTACGTGATTCTTTTTTACTCACGTCTTTAGCTATTATACCTATTACACTTATATCCTGGTGTATATCGTATATTATGTATGTGTTTTCAAGTACATATATACAGTAGTGAAAGGATTTAGAGGGACTGGTCATCTTCTATGCACTGCTGTTTGTACTAGGGAAAACTTTTTTATGCCCAAAATTATAGAGAACTTGGTAAAGAAGGGAAATCATAACTCTTATAAGAACCCTACGTTCTTTACATTTATTTATGCTCAAAATTATCCCCAACTCTAGAGAATATGCTAGTCAGCACCAACAAATAAGTGAATAAAGACTCGGTAGGCCGTGATCAGAGTACATTGAATTCACCTGGTAACCCTTCATGTTATTCATCTTCTTTTTCTTTTTTTCCTTGGTTTTATCCCCTTTATGTTCTTAATTATATTAATTATTAAAAATTAAAAGTTATTGTTATCGAAATAGTCAAATTTGACAAACAACAGTGACATTTGACTAAAAACGTTTGGTGATAGATTACTTACAGTACATGTCATGCTGAAATGTTTCTTTAATTGGAGAAAAAAGATGAATATATTTGATCAATTGGATTGACTAAAGGCATGTTTATTTACTCAGTTGGATTACTTAAAATAATAAACATGCCTTGTTAAATTGTCGTATGACTAGTCATGTATATATCTTTTTGGTGATGACCCTTACTATTATTACCCACGTCCCTAGAGCAATGCTCCACAAAGGTATTTACTTCCTTTTTTGGAAAAAATGTATTTGCAAATGCCATCGTTATAAAGAAGTGATGGTATTAGTGTTTGTCTCCGAGATTCTCATATTTTATTTTAGATTTCTAATTTTTTTTCCCCTAAAGTGCTACCTTCTTTATGTTCATGGATTATGATAAAATATTAAAACTAAATGATTTTAATATGATTGTTTTGTATCTTTATTCACGGAATAGAATTAATACCACTGAATATATTTAAATGCTTATTTTTATCCCAAAGTTATAGATTTTATTTCACTTTCAAGCTTAAAACGATTAAACATGTAAACATGAGTGTGAATTTTAAAACTTTGGTATTTGATGCTTGTCTGCCACTTTGGTCTTAAATTCCATCTAAAATGTGTTTTTTGTTGTCCAGACATTGACAAGAAATTGTAACGGCTGATCGACTCAATTGGTTTTCATGTGCTGGAGTTCAAGTACCGATACATATGTCAACTTCTGACCAACATGTAGGTGGGTGGCATGTGCATGGGCATGGGCATGATCGTGGGATTGACATTTATCATCCTGTGCTAGCTTTCAATACCACTATTGTTACAATTGCTGTTAAATAAGGGTCTATACTTGTACTCTAATTCTAATGACTAATAGATGAGATCCCTTGAGAGATGTTTTCAGTTTTGTATGGGTTTATGGATGCAATGCAGGTTATACTGGATAACAAAGAGGGCAGGAGAAAGGTCTGGCAGTGGATTGATGAAAGCAAATGCATGGCATCATCGTGCAGATGTTGTTTCATCACTTGATGCTCTTATAGGGGGTTGGTATGAAACATTAAGCACTTGATTTGACATATGAAAATGGGTACTCATTCGTTCATTCATGATTCAGGTGGATCTATTCTTGGGGTGAGGTTTCTTGATCCCCTTGTTGGGCTTGTTGTCTCTCGCATGATACTAAAGGTTGGGCTCCAAACTGGTTACCAGAGGTAATATTTAACAAATTGTACTCAAATCAAGAGTAGAAACTATTATTTATAATAGTTGAATCCTTTGTCCAGTATTTTGGAGCTGGTGGATGCTGCAATACCATCTCATCATTTGGACCCAATCAGAAAGACAGTGTTACAAGTCAAAGGAGTGGAGGCAAGTTTGAGATGTTAGATCGAATACTACCCAAGCTAAAAGCTACAGATCGTTGGGTATACTATTATATTCCCACTGAATTCGAGTCAAGTAATTTACCTTAATTTTCCCTTTGTAATTATCTTTTGTTTATAGAATTGAAAAACTTGTAATATGTCAGTTATCTTGTAATATCAGTTATCATTTTTTGTTTAGATGCTTTTTATTGACTAGGCTGCTTGGTGTAATGGAGGATTATTTATATTATAAACAATACATGTACCTTTTCCCTAGAGGGGGATACAAGTGGTGGTGATCGTGGATCCTTAATTGACCAGTTTAACAAACCTGGATCTCCATTTTTCATATTCCATCTCAGGTAATCAACATTTTGGTTCTATTCTATTTTTTTAATTATTTATTTTTTCATATAGCCTTTTTTATTTCATACTATACGTGATGGAGTCGTTGGAGTCAATCTTCGAGCTGCTGATACAGTTATCATATTTCACACGGACTTGAACCCACATGCAATAATTAAATACATATATACTTAAAAAAAGAATTCTATTTTAGTAGTAATTTGATTTTTCACTTATGCTTAATGGTTTTATGTCCATGTGTGTGGTTAGGTTGATTTGCAAGCACAAGCTAGGCTCACGGAATTGGTCATAAGAAGGAGGTACTTGTTCTTCGGTTAGATACGAAATGTTCACCTCACATTCACATCACTACTTAGGAATATTTTAGGTTAACATGTCTGCTTTGAAAGTACATTTCAACTCATTAAAAATGTGTTGATGTAAGGTTAAATCAATTGAAGAACAAGTTAGAGGTTTAGCTAAGCATAAACTTGGAGTTGCTAATCAGAGCATTAATGCTGGTTTTTTTGACAGTAACACAAGGTAGTTCATGTTACTTTTTTTGTGTGTGATATTTAAGATGACAATATATATGCAGGTATACACACACACACAAACAAACACACACACATGATTACATTGAATCTCCAGGCACCAAGGGTAAAACGGTCCAACTTGGACCAAAATTGAGAAGGATGGTTAAACACCAAAGAAATCATCTCCACAGGTAAATATGTCAATTTTGAGTAAAAACTTATTAACTTTGTAACTTGCTATGAAGATCTAGAGATTGATCACCTAATCGACTTATTTGTTGAATAATCAGGTTACTAGAGACTTCAATTATCTTATCAGATTATTTAGTGGGTTGTGTCAAATGGAATTTGTTATTAGGAATATGTATGTTTTCAGTACTCCCTCTGACTCCAAAACCATAGACATATATGAGTCATGCTGTTATTGTGTTTATCTTTATGAAAAAAGAGATACATATTGTTGATGTTTTTCTCAGATTCCAAAAGGGAGGGAAGTGGACGACAATGATTCCTTCATGTTTACTGATGTATTTACTGCTTCTCTTTATCGTATAAAGGTGAGATCAATTAATTTTTTTATACAAATATATAATGTGAAGTTCATATGAAATTGGTATGGAATGGAATGAATTATTTCATTATTCCATTCCATTCCATGTACAGGTGAATGCTATCCAATTGAAGGAAATTGTGGAAGAAAACGCAAGCACCATAGAGAGTATTCCAAGATTGTCAATATCTAAAACAAGGTTTCCCTTAATAGCAATGTAGTATTAGGTTATAAAGTTAGGGAAAACCTCTTAATAACAATGTACAACTAGATCCCTTTAATATCAATGTATTACAATTTTTTGATATGATGTTATTGGATTAAATACATTGCTTTTGTATATATTTGTTACATATTTTGGTATTATACGTAAATGAGTATCGTAAAGATGCGTCATAAATGCATAATGGTTGTTGAAGTTTACGACACGCAAATGCGTGTCATCTTCATTTATGATAGGGCTTCCTTGATACGCATTGCGTGTCATATACATGCGCATCGTAAGGTTACGACATGCAAATGTGTGTAGTCTTCCTTTATGACAGGGCCTTCCTTGATACGCATTGAGTGTCAAAACTGCGCATCGTAAATGCGTGTCATAAATGTGCGTCGTAAATGCGCGTCATAAATAGACGACGTGCAAAAGCGTGTCGTCTCTCGTTATGACAGGGCTTTCCTTGATACGCATTTGTGCGTCGTCTGAGCGTTTTACGACATGCATTACGCGTCGTAAAAGGCTGTTTTTCTAGTAGTGTTAAAAGATACTCTGATTTTCAAAATAAAGCATAAACAAATCGGTCTTTTCTGGCCGTAAAAATGGGGATGTCACAGTTGGTATCAAAGCATTAGTTTAAGAGAACTAGGAATAAGGATTTATTTCTAGACTTAAACTTAGAATGTTAAGCGATGATCATGAGGAGTGTGTCTAATATATTTTAGGAAGTACACCTGAATAGACACAAGCACTAGCTTAATTAGGTAAGATGCCTAAAATGCTTTTATGTGCTAAATGATTTGTGATGCTTTATGCTATCATTTGATCGGATCAATGGTTTGTTGCCGATTGAATCTGGAAATTTTATGTGTTCAGATTTCTAAACGTTTAATTACGGTATTAGAACCGGCATATAACTTTTCGTAGTAATTAGGAGGATTACACATCTAAAACTCACTATTAGAAAACAAGCCTTTAATGACGCGCAAACAATGACACACACGGATAGACGACACGCATTCGCACGTGCCCTAAAAATTAATGTTAGTTTTCCAAAATTTTAAGGATAGAAGACACGCATTTGTGTGTGCCCAAAAAATAGTGTTAGAAAAGAAAAAAAAAGAAAGAAAGAAATACAGAGGGTGCCTTTCATAAAATGTGCGTCATGTAACAATGTCGCTTTATAATTTTTTAATGAAACACGCCTTTTAGGCGGGACTTAGCAAACACGGAGGAAAAAAAATCCCAAAATTTTGGAAGACCCGCTCATTCTTTCCTATCCACTGCCGATGACCTTCATTTTCTCCCCTCCTTCTCTCTGTAAAACCTAGCAGCCGCCACCATCAGAAATATGGTTTTATGTTGGCTTCGTTCTATGTTGTAAGAACGCGAGTCTGATCCTTCATTAATAGCTAAAGGGGGGAAATCCCCCAAAATTTTGAAGTACCCCGCTCACTCTCTCCTTAGATCTCCACTCGACGGATCGACCTTCATTCTCCCCCCCCCCCTCTCTATAACACCCTCGCTTCCTTCTAGAAATCGAGGACCATTCTTTCACAATCGTATCTTTATGGCGACGATTAGACACAATAATCTCAACATAAAATTGGTAACTGAACCCCTCTTCACCTCTACCCTACTCCACGTACAACGAATCCTCACATTTACAAACCCTAGTCCAGCTGCACTTCTAGCCTTGGTGCTATTTCTGCATATGTTCAGCAAATAAGGGGAACACGACTTCTCATTAATCCCTCAACTTCATCTTCTCAATCAAGAAAAAAGGATTCTGATTTTTTTTCATGCATTTGCATCATCTCTGCTGCGATTTCACATGGTATTATCGATTTCTCCTTTATGCCTCCCATTTTTCCTGCATCTACTTCTCAAACTTTTAATATTTTCCTGCATTCGCAAGTCAAACTTCTTATTTTTTGCTTGCATCTTCTTCTCAATTAAGCACAAAAGTATCACATTGTTTTGTAGTTGATGTGAGTTTATAGTTGCTTCATTTTTTCTTTTTGTGCAGCGAGCTTTACCTGCTGAGCCAGCCGCTCGATTAGAAATGACACAAATGGTTTGCTCATAATTTATATCTCTCTCAACTCTCAAGCGTCTTTGATTTATTTTGCAATAATATTTACCATTTTGTCCTTGGCTCAGGCTGCTAATGCTGCTTGGAACATGGGGGAGTGGGATCAGATGTCTGAGTATGTATATAAACTGGATGATGGTGATGAAAGTAAACTCAGGGTGTTTGGGAACAGTTCTGAATGCAATAAAAATTGCATCCAGATCATCTGCAACCCCAAAAAAGGCCTGAAGACAATTCTTAACATCAACAATTAGCTCTAATACTTCAAAACCCTGATTCAAGATAACAACAAAATCAACATAATTTGAAGAATACTATTTTTCAGTTTCCATATGTTATAATTATAAACTGTGCCAAGTATCGTGGTATGGCCATCACATCTTGAACAAGTCCAAGTAAAAAGTTGTGTTAAATCTAACATGTAAACCTGCATTTTGGTTTATTATTAATTCTTCTACTTAACTTAATTACTCCATAATGTCTCACAGTTGCCAAACATCTTGAACAAGTCCAAGTATCGTGGTATGTTCATCTTACTGCAGAAGCATATTCCACCAGAATTGTGGCGAGTGTGTGATTGTAAAGTGGTGAGGGAACCTTATTCTTGATTTCAAGTCCTGTGTCCATAAAACAATTAACCTTAATAAATAAGTAAATGTGTGGTACTTTCTCAGCAAAAAGAAACCCCAACATAGATATGTAGACATCTACAGAAAAAAAAAAAGATTCTAAATATATAATCAATGGTGGTTGCTCTTATGTTATCGGCTCTCAGTCCCCAATATCCAATTGAATAAAGTTTTAACCCTACTGTACTAAAAAAGGATAGAAGCATTGAAAAGAATAATCAATGGTGGTTACAAAAAGTCTTCGTACTGTCACCTACATGCGGAATAATGCTGCCACAGGTGATGGTGGCAGCAATGGCACATTCTTCAGGGTTGTTCTCTTAGTTCGTAGAGAAAAGGTATTGTTTGGAATCTGGATTTGGATATCTTCACTTGTAATTGTTTGCTTAGAACTTTAAATATCTTTCAACATTTTTTGATTTTACAGTATGATGAAGCACTTGAATATGTCGAAAGAGCACGGAAGTGTTTGGCAACTGAGCTTGCTGCTTTGGTTAGTTTCCAAATTCCAACATCAAACCATAAACCCTAAACCCATGTGTGTGCTGACTATGTTAAAATGTGTCTGAATTAGAAGAGGTATTCATATTTCCTTTAATCATTTTGCTACTAATTTAATGAAATTTCTGTTCTAAAGGATCATCATAATTCATATTCATGTTATTCTTGTTTGTGACAGGTCATCGATTACTGTACTCTTCTAGTTGGCAACTCTATTTCCTTAAACGTCAGGTCATCATTAACTATTCTTGGTTGCTATTCCAACACATTCGCACGTATCTACGCGAGCTACTTTCTTTAATATCAGAATTATGGTCATCATTTAGTCTCCCAGCAGCTAATCGTCCTGTTCATGGACCCCCGGTAAAGTGTGCTTTTACTATCTGTCTTTTGTATAATGCACATGTGTCAAAGGGCAATAATGTAATTTGACTTTCTGATCAGATCCTGCACCTAGTTGATCAACTTTGTCTGGCCCTGAATGATGAGTTCAGGAGATATCTTCCTATAATTCTTCTATCTGGAGATGGAAAGACTCCACATTATATGAAAGTTGATCGGGATAAATGGGCTGATGAAGATGATGATGCAGATATGGTGATTGTTACTAATTTTTTCACCGACCATTTCTATATTTAATCATGTTATATGTATATTGTATTAAGAAGTTTAGTTAAATATGTTTTTTAGGTCCTGCTGCTGACCTTGACATGGGAGGAATGGATTTCTTAGTAAGAAAATAGTTTCTTAAAATATTATTACTGAAGTTTCTTTCTTTTTATATCACTAATGACTTATCCTCATACAAAAATTCGGTGATGTGGGAGGCATGGGCATGCCTGACATGGGTGATTTCTCTATGGGTGACGACCTTGAACACATATCTCATGTTTATTGTGTAGAGTGGCCCTGACATTGACATGACAACAGAGGATATATGGGGCGTCAACTACCAAACCATAGAAGATCTATTTGAATTAACAGAGGCAAGGATGGATGTAATAAAGTATGAGGTTGGAGTTCAAATGATTGAAATATACAATGAACAAGTCAAAGATTTGCTGGTAATTGATGGCTCCAATAGAAGATATCCTTTCAATTCTCTACCCTTCCTTCTCATGTTTATTTTTTTTAAAAAAATTTTTAAACCTTGACAACCTACACGTTGGATATATGAAACAAGTCCCAACTTAATGATCTTAATGTTCCGGATGCGTCTTTGGTTTCTATTAAATGTACACAAGATGTTCTTCATCTCATGAGAATTGGTCTTAATGTTCCGGATGCGTCTTTGGTTTCTGTTTATTGAGTCTAATTTAAACAATTTTGTACTTCAATTTTGCTCCAACAACATCAGCCATTTGGTTTCTCTTTTCTCCCATTCCCATACCACCTCTAAAAAATTATGTGCTTCATTTTTTTGGTAATCAGGTGAAGTAGAACCTGGGATTGTTGAAATTCTTTGTGATGAAAAGTTAATTTGTTTCTAAACTCCTGAATTGAATCATAATTTTGCCCATCTTCCTTTATCATGTCGTATATCCTTCTCTTTGCATTCTTAGATAGTTACACATATTTGTTATAAGGGCACATAACTCTAATTTTCTATTCATAGGAAGGTTATTACATTTACATGTCATCTGTTAAAACGTGTTTGAGTGAGTGGTCACGTGTTGTTCTATTTCTATATGTACATTTCTTATCTTGTATAACGGGCTCTTGAGTTATTATTTACAGCTTGTCTCTAAGAATAAGATATTGTTCATCCTTTAGTGTTTTTTTTTCATTTATTAATTAATTTCTCAGTTTATTCTTTCCAGATAAAAGTCAGATTCGATTTCCAATTTGGTGTATCTCCCAAGATTCTGGACCCTGTATATCTAGGACACGAGTTTCCTCTTCCTCTACATTTAGCAGAATCAGGTCTCAGATAAGATGGTGTCCGTTAGGGAGCACTTCCCTATGGAGTTAAGCTAATAGCATTTCCATTATTCTTTCTAATTAAAGCAAGACTGGATATTTGAGGTCATTTTTCTGCTACCCTTCTCTTCTAAGTAGTCATCCTTTTCGTTGCTGTGTGTTTGTGCATGATGTGTGTTGGCCTTCTGCTGGGTCTGGGAGAGTAAACAAGGGATCAAATTTATATATTCATGATGCTAATATTGCTGACAAGATAGAGAACCAGGATCAGTCAAATAAGAGGTGTATTCACCTGATTACATTAAGTAATCCTTTAATAGTGAAAAACTATTTACCAGTTGAATTATCTATCATGATTGAGAGTGGCGGAGTTTCACGTAGCATGTATTGTATACGATTGTGATGTTTTTATTTATTTATTTATTTATTTTTAACTTTTTTCAGGCTCAACTAAGTGTTACACCTACAAAAGAAGGCCGGCTAAAAGTAACTGGTGTGATTTGGAAGTTATCTGTTTCAATGGTTGGATTTTACGCTTTTTAACCGGATTTAATAAGAAAAAAGAATTTCTAAAGGAAGAAGGAAAGCTAAACAGAATACAAATAAACTTGAATTTTTGGTTATCAAGGATCATACTCTCTCTCTCTCTCTCTCTCTCTCTCTCTCTCTCTTCAAATTATGCAAATTGAAACCACATTGCTATTATTAATTTTTAAATTAAATTATTTTTTCTCTTTCCAGATTCTACCCAGACTTGTGAAATCCATGCACACAAAGGTGATAGGGTGAAAGTTCATTATCGGGTGAGTTAGTAGATACATCTACATAGCTATTTCCTTTCTTTCTCCATCCCATCCCATCCCCCCTCTTCTTTGAGTTATTATCTCAGTTTTCTGTAGCACTTAATGAATGATTGTATTTGTATGTATATCTTTGAACATTCTTTTAAGCTCTCGGTTTGCAGGGGAAACTTACTGATGGAACTATTTTCGATTCCAGCTTTGAAAAGGGTGACCCAATTGAATTCGAACTTGGTACTGGTCAGGTGATAAAAGGTATAAAACCATATGATATGACCCAATTTGATTCTTGTGAAATTAAATTCTTATATATATATATATATATATATATATATATATATATATATATATATATATATATATATATATATATATATATTATGGAAGTTAACAAAAATAGTGTATTCCAGGATGGGATCAGGGACTATTGGGAATGTGTGTTTGGGAGAAACGTAAGTTGAAGATACCTTCAAAGCTGGGGTATAGAGACCAGGGTTCACCACCTACTATCCCAGGTACGTAATGATTCCTCCTCCTGTTTGAGCATATTTATTTTATAGGGAAAATGTGTTTTGATTTAATGGGGAAAAGTATTAATAAATTGAAGAAATTAATTTTTGATAAATAGGTGGGGCTACACTTATATTTGATAAACAGTGAGCTATGAGTATGATCACAAGAATCCAGATCGTGACCTTTTAGTAGGAGGGGAGAATTCTAGATTTGATACTTTAATTTTGTTCCCTAGTATCTTAAAAAACAAAACATATATGTCTTGTACATGTATTTGGGACACCATTTTAACTCCTTGTTTCACTTAGGTTGAAGTGACGAGATTAGAGAACTTAATATTCATATTTTAAAGCAATTCAGAAAACTAAACAAAAAGACTATTGTTTTTATTTAATATGTTAATTAGAGTTAATATATTATTAAACAAATCTTTTTTGAACGATAATAGCAACAAACTTGAAGAACTACCCGAGATGTTTTCTAAAGCAAAGGGAAGGAGAGTTGGTTCAAGAAAAGGCTGAGGTTAAGAAGCTTGCAAGTTTTCTATAGCAGGTTAGTAATAGTATTTCATTATTTTCTAAAGCAGGCTAGTGAACAGTCTCATGGCCCTATGATTGAACCTTCAAATGACATCTCTAGACTTATGTTTATGTATTGCAGGATTGGGCCAATGAACTCTGAAATCAAGCAACGAAAGGTTGTAAAAAGCATAGAAAGCATGCAATATTAACTAACCCTTTACCTTTATCTGTATCTTTATCTGTATCTATACCTGTTATTTTATTGATGGTTGTGTGTTGGATTGATAGTTAATGTTGGATACGGTTGAGGCTGGAGAAGAACTGATGCCACATAGGATTTCGGTTGACACGTCACCTAATTAGCAACTGCACATGAAGAAACTGGGAATTCTAGAGTGGGAATTAGGACAAGTACTAATTTATCCCCTTCTACAAATGAGTTTACTTTCTTACCCTTTTACCAATGAATTTACATTATTATTCTTTTTTTACAACTGATTTTACCTTCTTACCCTTTACGGTTATCCAGGAGCTAGATGCATTTTAGATCCCATCATCTTAATCTTAACTTGGTTGACTTTGTTTATCAGTTTGTAACTTGTGGTTTGATTTGGTTTCATAATATTCATAGTTAGTTAGACTTTGTTATGGAGCTACTTTCCTAACTCGAAAGTAAACAGGTGAGTTACTTGTGTTTGTAATTGTATGATATATATATATATATATATATATATATATATATATATATATATATATATATATATATATATATATATATATATAGGAAATAAGATGGAATAAGTGGTTGTGGTTGTGTACAAATATTGGGCATATAAAATTTTATAAAATTGTAAATGTGGTGTAAGGGTAGTTCTAAATATTTGCATCTGGTTTCAGGGGTTACTCAAGGAAAATGCAAATGCTAGCAAATACTGGGCATATAGAGGTGACTTTGGAGATACACCAAATGATTTAAATTTCTGCTTAAATGGTCTCATATGGCCTGATCGGACTCCTCATCCAGCTGTAAATGGTGATTACTATAATTTTTTTGCTTATTATTTAGGTTTTTGTTTAGTTATTTCCAACAAAAATGTTTCCATGATGAATCTTTTGGTAGAGACAATGTATAAGAATTACTTCATTAAGCTAATTATGATGTGATCCTTTGTTTATTTGTTTTCAGAGGTCAAGTATTGTTATCAACCAATTAAAATTTCATTCACCAATGGCGTAATTAAGGTATCAATATCATCACTCTTACTTATTTGTCTATATCATTTTCATGAAAATGTTTATGTTGCGTATTATATATTCATATGTCCAGTTGTGCTTTCTATATAGCAAATGTTAACCTTGGTCTTTGCGTTTTTTGTTCATAGATTACAAACACCAATTTCTTTCAAACAACATAAGATCTAGAGTTTAATAGTTGATTGAAGGTGATGGATGTAAACTTGATTCTGGAACTCTTAGTCTACCAACATTAGAGTTTAATTAGGTGATTGAAGTTGATGTTGGTTCTTGAAACGAGACTCAAGATATCATATTTTGGCATGGCTAGAAGCTTTGGAAGAAACGAGACTCAAGCAAAAGTAAACACACAGAGATTTGTTGGCGCATAGTAAGATAGATGATGCAATTGTATATAAATGAGTTCATTTTTTTATAACATTTACTCACTATTGGAATAATTATTTGTATTTGACATATTAGTGAAATGAATTATGTTTGTTATTTATGGTATTTTATTTTGTATTATGAGATTTTTAATGTATTATTTAATTTGAAAATTAGTAAATCTATAAATAATATTTTTTTAAAACATTTAAAATTATAATACGCAAAAATGTGTGTCATCTTCATTTATGACATGGCCTTTCTTGACAGGGGTTTTCTTGATACGCATTGCGTGTCATTAACAAGCGCGTCGTAACGTTACGACACGCGAATGCGTGTCGTCTTCCTTTATGACTGGGCCTTCCTTGATATGCATTGCGTGTCGTAAACGCGCGTCGTAATTGCGCATCGTAAATGAGCGTCGTAAATGCGCGTCGTCTATAGACGAAGCGCAAGAGCGCATCTTTTCTCTTTATGACAGGGCCTTCCTTGACGCACATTTGCGCGTCGTCTGAGCCTTTTACGACGCGCAATGAGCGTCGTAAAAGGTTGTTTTCTAGTAGTGACTTTTATATCTATATTCTCGTTTCGATACACCAAATGCATGCTTTGGTGTATAGAATGTCATGATAAGGACTCGTAGCAAACTGAGAAAATGGAGGAAATGAGAAGGCTTGCTATAGTGCATGATACCTATTGAAAGATATTGTAAGAGTTATATCTTGCCTTTAGAATGCATCTGATAAATAATATGTCTAGTATGGGAGAAGTACATTTTCGATTAGCAGAATGAAGGATTTTTGGTATAATCAATGAAGTTATCCCATCGTCTGACATTTCCATCAGCAACCGAGTTGAAGCAGAATTGATGATTGAAGATATGCATGGAAGAAGTCCTAGTAGAGTCTAGGGAAATTTTATATGATTGTTTGGACACATTTGTATGTGTTAATATTGTTTTTGTGATAATAACTTGGAGAACTGTGAGACAATACTTGGGACAAGTATGAGTAAATGAGAAAGGTAATGGAGGCCTATACTACTGGAACCATAGGACTTGCACTTGGATCAGGGAAAGTCACAAGGTTACCAAGGCACTAGTAATTGATTTTGTTTTGTTCATGTCTATCGTTACTATCGTTTCGATAATGAATAAGAAGATGATTGTTAATCCGACCCTAGTGGTCATATCAAATCGAGCCCAACTAATATGAGTATGGTACATGGTTCAGAGAACCAAGATCGATGTAGCATCTGACTTAAGACAAAAGACTGATTTGAAAGATAATCAAAGCGATCAATAGAAGTATTGCGAATAGCCGTTAAAGTAACAAGGTTGTAGCTAGAAGTGCTACATGCTAGAATGTGATTATATCGCATTAGAATATGAAGGAAGGTATATTTTATTCTCGAATTTAACTCTAAAAAGACCTGAGTCTAAGCATTGCATCATATGATGAGAGGTCATTTGAACGTGATCATTCGGTCTATTGTGGTAATCAAATAACTTAAACTAGGTTTGTAAGAATAAGAAGGGGTCTCCAATAATGATCGATATTGTGACATGAAGGTCATGATTAAGAGTCTAACATGAGACATAGAACGGGTGAAAGATCGAGCACCGCTTGAATTCAAAAGGACCGAGAGTTAGATACTCATTCGAAGGAACATAATAGTTATAATTATTACCTAGGATGAAGAGATAAGGTATGGAGTCATTATATAGCCTTATTTCTTTGATGATTCTGGGACATAATCATCCTAAGGGGGAGATAATTGTAATGCCCGCAGATTCGCACTAGTCAATTTGGAGACAATAAGCGTCAAAATTAACTTTTTGATAGAATATTATTTATAACCAAAAATCTTAACTAAGTTATAGTATACGTCACAAGGGTTCCATACATATAAACAACACTAAAATCCAAGTTATAACAAAGAAGTTATGACTTGTCGAAGTTTTACGGTAAAACCGAAACGGCACCGCGTAGCGTAAAAAGAGAATTTTTGATAAATTATTTTTTAGCCTTAGAAATCTAAAAAAATAGTCGTAGTATACGTTAAACCGAGAAGTGCAAAAAAAGAACGTCCAAATCTGACTTTGTATGAGGAAGTTATGATTTTTCTAAGATTTAGCATAGCAGTGCACAACCTAGAATTCGAATTTCAGATCGAACGACTTTTAGCCAAACCTAGAATTCGAATTTCAGATCGAACGACTTTTAGCCAAAACAACCTAAATCAGAATTTAATATCTCATTAATAGGAGCTCAACGATAAAAAGACAGTCAAAAACAGAATCCATATGTAGAAGTTATGAATTTTACATGGTCGTTAACAGTATAATATTCTCATACTGTTAAATTTAAAATCGGTCGAGAATTAGCCGACAGAGTCTAAAAGAAAGTTGTAGATTATGTATCCATCTATGTGTGGATATAAAGAACATCGAAAGCAGAGCTCGTATGTGAAAGTTACGGGGTTTAGAAGTCGGCAGGGTGTTGCTACAAAGGGGGTGACGTGGCTGAATCTGGGCCATTGCTTTTTCCCCAAGTCTTGCCACCAGATGGTGACATGTGGCACCAAGTTGAGGCATATTTCAGCCTATAAATGGAACCCCTTCCACCGTTATTTCTTCACACCTCTACCTTTCTCTTTCTCTCTCTAACTTCTCTCTAAACCTCTCGACCCCCCCCCCCTAAAGCCCTAGGAAACTCCCCTAGCGCTAGAAGAAAGCTCCGAAGCGCCCGGCGGCTCCGAGAAAAAAGAGCTTTTCAGCTCAGAAGCTCTATTGCAGCAGAGCCCGGTTTTTAGCAAAACCTGCTGTAAGTGAGATACGCCTAAACTACTTTAAATATAGCTTACATTTAAATATAATATCATTATTATGAGCCTATAAACATGTGAGTTCATAGTCCCTTTCACGAACATGATTTTAATACAAGTATTGATTGAAGTATTAAATATATGTTTATGTGCAAATTAGTTGGTGTTTCCTAAAATATGTGTAAAAGAACATACCTGATAATATATGATGATTTAGGATAAAGAGTAAACCTAAATTATTAATGAGGCATAATGGGTAGTATCTTCTTATGAGTACGAGTGAGATATACACGGAGAATAGAACTTTAAAATATGTCATTGATCTAGGAGCATGGATTAGACATAGTCATTTGTCCTTAGTCCGAAAGTATGGATAGAACATAGTTATTTATCGTTAATCCGAGAGTATGGATTTAGACATAGACAATTGTCCTTAGTCCAAGAGTCTGGATATGACATAGTTATTTGTCATTAATCTGGAAGTATGGATTGATGCATAGTAAATTGTCCCTAGTCCGAGAGTATGGAATGGGCAAAATTATTGATCCGAGAGCATGGATTAGACATACTTGATCTGGGAGTATGGAATAAGGAAAAAGCTAAATTTTAGATCCGATAGTATGGACAGTGTTGTTAAGAGGATTGACAGGGTGGGGTAAGAGTTGCTTTTACCTGATGAAATTATATACTTGTAAGTTCTAAAATATATATTATATAACATTGTGGGATTGAAATCCCTATGTACTCACCAGGTTTCCCATCATAACCCACTCAGTTTATTTGTATCACAGGTGTCGATCTGAAGCTACATTACACTGAGAGATTAAGGAGACGTAAATCACTAGTGTAAATGAGTATAAGCTATGTTTATGCTTAGGTTTCTGTATTGAACATGACTTCCTAACGTTTTAAAAGGA